TATTATACCAATCACTCCACACTTGAAACTTTTTTGTCAGCATGGTGAGACAGCCTTAGAACAAGAGTGGGAAAGCACGCTATATAAATAAAGATTATCTCATACGACGCAAACTGAATAGAAGGCTTCAGGTCTATTTTCGATTGTTGTTTTACAGCCTCGACGAATGTTACATCCATGCCACCTCAACAGCACTGTCCCACATACAAATTGCACATCACCGTGGATCATAGTCCGCTACTGAGTTAGGACGAAAAAACAAGCCAAGGATGGCACAACTAAAGGGGTGCCGACTGTACATAGTTAAACCGCTTACACTTCTTCTTCGAAACTAGTTAAAACAGCCCTACACCTCATCATACCAAAAGCCATACGCAAGCTCACCCAAGTTGGCACATTTATTAAACGATAAAAATAAAAAAGAAGAAATTCTATAATAATGCTTACGTCCATATCCACGAGCGCGTCCACGTTGCCCGAAGCCGCGACGGTAGTTCAGCGAGCGAACTGCAGAGTGCCCGAAAGTTTCCTGATTTGTTTCGCGTTCCTTTTTCCAGTCCGGACGTCCACTTTTTCCTTCAGCTTTCTCCAAAGCCTCACAGCTAATGCGATCAAAGAATGAGCTTTTCTTGTCATAATAAGTGTCTTCGGGAGCTTTCTCAGCCTGCTCCTCCTCGCTTTTCTCGCCATCGACCTGCAAAAGTATTTAACAAATATTGTTGAACTTCCTATCAAGAGCATTCTACACATCCATCCTGACTTTGGATGGCAATTCGAGGTCGAGTCACATAGTTTGGGTGTGCGCAAGCTTTGAAAGCATTGAATTCATTCATATGGGCTTAATTTTGGCTTACTTTTAAATCTTGCAATTTCGCAAGTTTTTGGAAGATTCAATGATTCTTGAATCAGTGAAAAAGGATGTAAAGTTTAAGTGTGGAGTGATTGGTATAATAGTAACAGCGGCGCCGTACTTACCAATGCCATTGTGTTCACCAGGGAAGATTTTAGGTTTCCGTTATATTTTAATAGGAGACCTATCTGAATCGATGCAGTCAAGAGCTGGTCACAAATACGGATATTAAAGCTGCGCTTTGAACTTCCCAAGCAAGTTTTGAAAAGTCAAAGTTGGCAGGAAATGCAGCGTCACTGTGATGGGGCTATCTAGTCTACCTAAAGTGGCGTCTTTAATTTCTTCCGAAACCTGTATAGGCGTATATAGGTGTCCAGGTCACGAATATGACATTCATTTTTGAAACAGTGGCTGTCAAGGGCCAGTCTGTCGCTGCAGCAACTTTTTGCTGCATTTATTGCCAATTCTGACCGCCGCAACTTGTTTGGAAAGTTTAGGTAGCAGTTTTGCTTTCCATGGTTGTGACTAGTATTCTTGATCCTATTGAGTTATCCGGGTATCCATTCTAACTTCTATGGGGGGTTGAAATCCCTCCCTGGTTAGATGAGGTAGTTGAAGTTCAGTGTTGTTTCGTCAAATTTAATTTACTTCACGATTTCTAATAGCTTCATACGGCACGTGTTTCAAGGCTAATGCGGAGAGATAATGACTTTGTAAATGACTAGTTGTAGCTCCAATTTCATGACATTGTGTTAGCTTTAGTGCTCTTTATGGGTTATTCAAGGAGCAGCCTTTCCAGGACCTGGAGATGGTCGTTACATCAACAACTTCAACCGAAACTACAACAATTTCCGTGGTGGATATGGGAACAACAACGCGAACGCTCGCGGGAGAGGTTTCAATAGAGGCGGATATCAGCAGACCCAGCAGCAGTGAAGTTCTTTGACGAGGGGTGAAACATACTGTGCTTTTACATAATGTAGAAATTTTAAAAAAGCTGTTGCTCGTCTTTCATATGGTTCTTGTTTCGAGCTGGAGCTTCGTTACCCCCACACCTTTCAGAAAAAGAAGCTGTCTGAGCCTGTTAAAATTCCCATGTGCTAATCTCGTTGTTGACGGGCAGTATTACAAGTTTGGTTTTGTATGTGGTTTTTAAGATCTAGTTCTTTTTGACGTTTTCTTTTTTGTTGAACTGCGATGTGCATGAGTTATCGGTGTAGTGTGTTGTTTTTTATGGGACCACAGCATAACAGCATATATATCTTAGTTTGTTAACTTGCATCATCTTTGTTTGTTGGATATTTATACATTCAATAAAGCTTAATAGGTGCTGATGGCTACGTTCAGCATTACGGTGAATATTCACAGTGGTTTTTTCTAATCACTTAGTATGTGTCGGCCATGGATTTGCTATCTGCAGCGAAACAAGAGTGTCTTGTTCTACATGTATGTGCCGTGACTGATTACCTCCTTTATGCATACACCTGTTTCAATCAAGTATTTGTGCAGTGTAACTGTTTCCAATTGGTGCTAATTATTCTTCGTACACACTGAGGTACGGTTTCGGGTTGTCGCTCAATCTTCCATTCAGTTTCTGAGGTTTGTGGTGACTTCAGGTGTACGTCTTAATTTTGCCCCTGCAAGTTCTCATCAGGATGTGTAGAGGGATTAGGTTGTGATGTGCTGCTTTGATGAGGCTAGCGTCTAATTTACAATTCATTCTCGTGCAGTAAATAATCGTTTCACCAAATTTTAACTTTTGGACCTATGTAGGAGATCACCAAAGAATGCTAATTCTGGATGTATGCTGAGCTAGCGGCTCATAACATGTGAGGGAATGGTAAAGCTGATGGCCAGGTGATGCTTGGTTGGTTGTTGTGTGGCTCATCACTGTTGTATTGACTTTTGGGCTTATCTTACAGTCATGTTCTCTTCAACGATTGCTAGTGATTTTTCACTCAAAAGGTCTCAAGTCTCGGACTTTTCACGGAAAGTCAGTCTTATTTGAAGTATCCATTTTCCATTATTTGTTTGTAGTTTCCTAGCATGCTGTTGTTGATTTTTCTCCCAAGATAGGTAGGCTCTTTTTTGCTGATTAAGGTGACCGAAACGGTGTCGGTGTTGCTGGCGACAACTCCCGCGAGTTATTGATTGAACCTGCCCGCAACCTTGCCTTGTACAGAAAGACCGTGGAAGGCGGTGCAGTCAGCCAGCACTCGGAAGAGTCGCTAGAGAGTATCCATCCTACAAACGGTCTCGAGCCTGGAGCGATGGCTGATTATTTCCGTTCACCTGCTTTCTACTGGTATTTAATTATTCTTCCTGCACTCGGGATCAATTTTGTGAGTTTCTGAAGTTCTTCTTTCTTTTATTCTCGAATGTCTTTATCCAGAAACGCGGTTTTTAGATAGCAGAAAGCGATAGTGTAGAGACGACCTTCCATTTGCATTGTTTGAGGGGAAGGGGTCGTATTTGGGTTGGGCGTGTATATCCATATCTTGGCAAAATTACGAGCGGGGGTCGTATCTGTGGAAGTTGAAGGGGTCGGTTGCAGAAACGGGGTCGTATGACTTTTTTGAAATTCTGGCAAGAATCCAAAAAGGAAGCGTAAAATAGGGAAAATTAGAGGAAAAATTGAAGAATATGGCTTCTTCTTCCCCTCTCCCCCGTCCCCCTCCCCACCATCATCCCCACAGCGTCCCTTGCTCGACCGTCATTTAGGAAAAAGCGGGAGGAGTTTCGACTGGTCTCTGATTCAAATGCTATAGAACCAGCCATGATGGTAAGGGTGGTGGGTGAGTTGGGGGAGGGGGGAGGGGGTTCGTATTGAGGGAGTCTCTTGTGGCTGATTGTGGTCGTGGGGTGGTCATATCGAGATCTCCCTTAGACAGTTTGTAAACTTTGAAAAGTGCGAACATGGGGGTTGACCCTGCGATAGTGTAGCTTTCCTAGTTTTTCCTTATTCTGTGCTACACGCTCCTGTTTGAACGCCGATCTGTTTAAACTTCAAGTGCACCTCTTCCCCGGATTCACAACCTTATTTCTACGTTTATATCTGACCGAACCGTTTCATGGTCGGTGTGTCCCTTAAAGCAAAAACTTCACATGAGGTCGTGTCGAAGAATCTGTTCTGTGGATGGGATAGAGCAGCGGAGTGTCACAGATGTGCCGTTGTCGTGGCTCAAAAGTACGCGACATTACACCAGGGCCTTACAGAGTGAGCTGGTGGCGATTAATTTGAAGTTATTTATGACATTTCCTCGTGCACACTTTATAACACGCAACGCGTTACGGCGTAGCGGCCAATTCGAATACGCACGAGTTAGTGGAGTCACACAGGTTCATACAACTCGTCCGGCCCCGCCCCTTCCTCATTCCAATGGGAAAGAGAGGAGTTGTTGTTTAGGGTTACAAACGGTTTGCTTTGCTCCTTTTTCCATTTTCACTCAACTTAGCATCCACAGTTCCATTATGGACCGCTTTTGCCCTACCAATTCGATTTGGGGTAGCTGCTTTGAACGGAACATACTTATTAGCGGGAGTGGATACATCACAGCTAGTCATTCGAATAAGTGGTGAGAGATTAGGAGGCGGGAGGTTGTGCCATAGAATAGAGGACAGTAAAGGGTCAACGTTGGAAAATTGCTGTAGTCTCCGAAGCGATGCTTGCTCTGGCGTGCAATCCTGCGTTCTACGAATTAAGGCCGTTTTTTTTCGTATTTTTTCTGAGCACATTCCTCGTGCCGAATACTATTCATATGTGGAAGGGCATGAGAAGGGGATTCTGACATGAAATACGCTTGTTCTTGTTCGATCATTAACTAAATGTTTGTGTGAGCACTACTCCATCAGTAATCGTTTGATTCATCGCTTGACCGATTGTGACCGAATGAGTTAGCGGTGTAAACACGGAAATTTGATGATGCAGCCATCACGCGTCCCTTCTTTTTCCGCTCAGCTCCGATTTTAGAATAGTTTTGGGTGTTGGATTGGTGTAATACTATAATCAATGGGCTGCTGGGGGTTAAACTAGAATAATTCCTCCGATACGTACTTTGCCTAAGGGTGAGAGGGGCAGAGACGATTGAGCGAGATTACAGTGAGATTTTAAGTTTTTGAACGTAACAGTATGCCTCGAGTGGACCGGTAACTGTGATTTTCGGGCGATGTTTTTTACACAACTCTAGAAGAAGCTCCTTTAAAGTAAGATTTTAGCTTTCCTAGCTGTGATAGAGAACCGTCTACATGTAATTAACTATTCCATCATTCACTTGCTTTCAGCTCGCCTATTATTCGCCAAACCTTCTCCGGACATATGTTCCTTTGATTGGATCTATGGCTGCTTATATCGGTACTAACTATCACTGGATTACGGTTTACACGAATGTCTTTGCATTAGTTGCACATATCGGAGAGAGTCTTTATGCTTGTATCTCTGTGCCAAGCTGAAATTCAGGTAAGCGTAATCCTTGTTCCCGGAAAACTGTGAACTTCATCTCTTTTTTTCAGTTTGTCGTGCTCAGCAAGCTGGTTTGTGCAGACCTTCCTCCTCGGATTCCCATCTCTTAGCATTTTAGGTAATTTTGCTGCTAAAACGAAAAGGAAGCGTTGAGTAATGAATTTATAAACGGAAACTTAAGCTGATAAATCTTCCATTCCTTTGTGTCCTAACTGTTCGTTCTGAAAGTGTTGGCGAATTCTTGAAGTGGGACGTCATTGAAATGTGTAGCAGCGTGGTATCAGGAAAAAATTCCGATACAATGACAATGGAACGTGAGCTGTAACTGTAGCTGCTACAGAGTGAGATAATTGATGTTCGATAAAAAGGAAAGGATCGATGTGACTTAGATCTCTGACTTGATAATGGGAGTGCTTGAACAGTGAGTATGCATGATGTGCATGCAAACATCCAATCGCTTGATTTCCTGAGTAGACCTATTTTGCGTCCCGCAATGACTCGTTAGAGTACAGGTTTAGCAGCACGCTACAGATAGCGCCATAAGTATCGAGGACATCAGTTTCAGATGATAGTCGTAATGTGTGCTACTGACGATGAGGCTGCTGATACGGACGGATATTTCCTTAAGGTGCGATAGACCAGACTGTGCCAAACTAATACAAAATTTGTCATTTCCTTTGAAGGAAGAATTCACGATAAGAACGAAGGTGAACGGAGGGGAATGGCATAGTTGGGAGACGGATGGACCTTCTAGAGGCTGACAGACAGTAATTGGCAGCGAAGGATTTGACGCTCGGATATCTGCTTGGCTCACTTTGGCGCAGTCTGGGGCACGTCCCCACAATCTAATCGCTCGCCCGCTAAGTCTATGCCATTAAAGAGGGCATAAAAGAGCGTAGTGTTGAAGAAGGCACAGCGATGAGAGTCGCATCAATGCGCAAATCAACGGGCAAGGAAGGGGTCCCATTTCTCGGGTTTCGGCCGTTTCAAATGGTTTCTTCTTCATCCCTGCTCCACTGACCACCTCTACCCTTATTTCCAATGAGCTAACTTTTCATCGTAAATTCTGCCTTTAAGGAATGCATAAACTTACTCGGGATGACTTGGAAATGTCATGTTGGATGAAATAAACCCTTTAAGACCTTCGAGCCGGATTTCACGATGAAAAGGCAGCTCAATGAAAGGTAACGGTGGAGGTGGTCAGTGAAGCAGGGATGAAGAAGCCATGTGAAACGGCTCGGAACCCGAGTAATGGGACTCCTTTATGTCTGTTGATTTCCGCCTTGATGCGACCTCATCTGGCTGGGCGTTCCAGGTCAATTGCATCAAAGAGAAGGCCATGCTGATCGCCGAGGGCATATCCTTCGATGCGAATTGCGTGTTGGTCCGCACCTCTTAGGGGTCCGCCTGTCTCTCCACTAGGTAATTTCCCCTTCTTCGACCTTCGTTCTTATCGTGGAATCCTCCCTCGAATGAAATGAACTTAAAAGGATAGCCAGCAGAAGAGCATCCATCGTCGCTACTGGATGGATGCATGCGTTCGGCAGTTCTTTCAAAGAGTAGCGTTCATAACCGCACTTCCTCATATGTCGAAAGTGCAAATAATTGTAATTGATTCAGCTGTGATAAAAAACGGTGAAGCAAGAACTGCAAAATGTTGGAACACGAACCATGCGAAATAAATGCATTGAACAGTGAATTGTCCCATAAACAAACCACAAACAGCGTTGTGCTGGCAAATACTATGTGCTAGACGCTGTTTTTCAATACTCTCAGTTGTGGAAATCTATCAAATTTTATAGAGCTTAGCATACCGATTTTAAATTATTAGATTCGTTTGCATTCGCATTCGTTTAGATTCGTTTGCACCGGAAAGTCTAGGGGGCTGTGTTTCCAAAAACTCACATCTCACAATGTTTGAAAAGGCTGTAGGGGGTAATTCCGGATTGATCTCGATTGCTATTTATGGTTTCGCTTTTGTGTAGGATAAAAGCTTCTTTTCAGTAATCAGCGGCTGAGATATCCATGAATTTCATTTAGGGTCAAACTGGCTTGTCTGACTTAAAAAGTTCAAAAATTTGACAACCCCTCTTCACCC